CCTCTCGGGATCTTGGGCACGCACGCACACGCACCCGGCGTGAGTTTTAAGCCACCGGGTCTGAGACGCGAGCCGTGGTCGACTACGTGGGAGTCCAGCAACATAGCCATTACGCTAACTGCTGGTTCCCCCTACTCATCTTTTTAAGGCCTAGACAAAATGTCACTTTATTCATATGTTTAACAAGCAGATTTACAGACCAACAAAACTATGAAAGAATTGGGCCAGCAGATGGCATAATGGTTATGTTGTTGGACTCCCACATGGTCAACCACTATCCCAGACCTGGCTGCTTCAAATTCACACCAGGTGCATGTGCATACATGCCCAAGATCCAGAGAGGAGGATGGAGAAGAAGGGAATGCAGCTTGGCCATCCTGCCCTGGGGGGTGATTTCTCTCTTTCTATGTCTCTGTCTCCTCTGAGTACACAGGCTCTACAGTAAAAACCTCTCAAAAAAAAAAAAAAAAAAAAAAAAGGTACAAGATCCTATGAAAACAAACAAAATATAGAATATAGTTAAATAGTTCCAGCATTTGGAAAACTTACATCTCTGAGAGACAAGTTAAAATATATTAGTATACTGTGAGTAAAATGTGTAAGATGGATGGGAGCAATACCTAGGCTGAGTAGGCTGGGTTCCAAAGGATATGGAATTATCTCCATCCTTAGAATTCTTGAATTGGACCATGATTTTGATAACTGAGGGTATGTGTACTTGCTAAAGAGAGATGAGGAGGTGGGGAAGCATTCCATCCCCCAATGGGGGAGGGTTAAGCCATACTCCTTTGCCCATTTCTCCTTTCAGGATTTTGAGTACACACACACACACATACCCTGCCTATTTTTCTTTTTCTTTTCTTTTTGCTATAGGGCACTTACACTCACCAGAGGTGGGGGTGAGAAATTATCGCTCAAGGGAGATGGTCGCGCTGCAATCCTTTTCCTCCATTTTCCTCTCAAGATTATGAGTACACACACACACACACACACCTACCATGCATTCCACAGTCACCAGGTCTGAGACGTGAACTGCATAATTGGCCATGTGAGATCCAGCCAATTAAATCTCCAGGCCACCTGCTGGCCTGATAGCTACCTTTTAATAATACTCCATATATTGTATTAAAGTCCTGCATTTAATCTGTTGTCCCTAAAACTGCTCATTCTAAAGCAAGAACTTATTCATCCTTTGTATCTTCTACACCTAGAGGATAACTAGAACATAACAGAAGACAATTTTCATTGAACTGAAGTGGATTCTTAGGTTTCCATGTTAGCCAAAAGTCTTCTTGATGCATAATGCACCAATCTATAATAGCAAAATAAACTAAAATCTAATCAGTATTTCTAATAATGCACTGAGAAATCAGAGCAGTTCCAACTTGGAATTAGTACTTCAATAAACAAATTCCATTTCCATTAACATTTATTAGTAGTAATGACATTTTCCTTCAAAATGTAGTAGTGTTTCTTTTTTGGACAATAATGCTTTAACTAATCTATTAGGTTCAAGAAATATCAGAGTTCTAGTTCCTAATCAACAGTTTGTTTTCTCTAATTCCTCTGGCAGAGGATGAGGACTCCATCTAGGGACTGTAGTAGCATATTACAGTTTCTTTTTGATCCTGGAAATCCAAATTTATACATTTTCTTAAATATATGTGAAAGACTTTCTATGAAACATGGGAGGCACTAGGGATACAGCAGCCTCTACTTCCATTGAACATACATTCCATTTGGGAGGGACACACAGCAAACATATCTACGTCAGTCAGTTTCAGAAGTGCTGAGAAAAAAAGTCAAAGCAGGGTAAGAAGTCAAAAAGTGAAGGCAGTAAGGCAAGAACAGTAGCAGAGGTACAGCAGACAGGATGATCACAGACAAGTCTCTCTGACAAGGCATTAAATCAGAAACTGAATGAAGCAGAGAGATGCAAGCATCTGAGGAGTATTCTAGGAGGTGAAGCCAGGAAATGCAGAAGCCCTAGTGTGGAAGCATGTTTGATGTGTTAAGTAAACCACAAAGATATCAGTATGGGTAGATTACAGTTAGTAGTAAGTGAGGGAGAGAGCAACATATGAGAACTCAGGTTGTCAGACCTGAGTCAGACCCAACAGGCTAAAGATTTTGGATAGCACCCTAAGACAGGAAACCTCTGGACCATGTTGAACAGAAAAATGACATGATTAGACATATATTACAAAGGAGTAATTCTGTTTTCTGGGTATTAGCCAGTGAAAGGAGCAATAACCAGTCATAAGTCAGGAATTGTCTGCAATTCCTTGTAACATAAAAAGCTGTTACCAAGACTGATGGGTAGAGTGGCAGTATAAACATGTGATGGCTGAAAGCTTCCAAATACGCACTTCCTTTATCAAGAGCCTTTGGGATAGTTATCAAATGCTACTTTTATTTTGTCCACTTTAACTACCTACTCTTCTTTCATTCATTACCATCTGGTCTAACTCCCAAACACAAGCACGGCAGCTACCACACAGAAAATGTCAAGTACACCACCCTTTTCCCCCTGACATCTTTGTCTTTTGCTCCTCGCTCCCTATGAAATCTATCCCACTTCTGTAATTTCAAATAACCCTATTCTTTTCACCTTTTGCTACTCTAAGTTTCTTGGTGGCAACAGCAGTTTCGCTAGTCTTACTAACGACGACTCTGGTAAATATATAGAGATATACACACATATACATGTATGCATATATACACACATACATGTATACACACATACATATGTACACACACACACGTGTGCGTGTATATATATATAAACTCAAGATTACGTTTGACACCGTATCCGGAAAACCACTTCCCCTAGCCTTCTCACTGAGCCTAAGTCACCTATCCGACGTCACACCGAGATAAAACTCTTAAGGGCCAGCCTCAAACACAAGCGCATCTCCTGCTTCCCAGAAACCCAGTCGATAAAACTCAGCACTCGTACATTACCTCCATGGTCGGAATCGTTTTTAACCTCATCTTCTAGCTCCGATGCTACAGCCTTGGCTACCATTTTCATCTTCTTCTTCTTCTTCAGAGAATTTTTCAGCTTTTTGCCCGCATTCACACGTGAGTCCCGAACGGCCGCGGCCATTTTCCCTAACCGGAAGCGTCACCTGAGAGTTGCGTCGGGTGGCAACCAAAGAAACTTCCGCAGTTCCTACGACACCGGGTTCCGGGGCGGGGTCCTGGAGCCCAGAGTTCACAGCGAAAGCCTCTGAACCGACTGGTGAGAGGGCGGAGCTGCCGGGTGTCTTTACCGGAAGTCGGATCCGGGACTAACTGTGTCTGCACGGTTTGAGCCGACTTCTTGGCCCGCTCGCCCTGTACTCTGGTCTGCTGTTCCACCTGGTCCCCTTTCCTGCCCTGGCCGCTTCCCTCATCTGCGACCTTATTTAATGTGGGTTTAGGCACCCCACAAATGCCCCTTGGGGGTCCCTCCGAATGCGCCGCAGCTAGGAAGCGAAGGAAGAGGAGCTCGGAGTCGATAATTAATTAGAATATGATAATGACATCTCCTTCCCACTACCACTGCCAAAGTTGCTCAATGGGACACTGGAAATCTTTTTTTAAGACTTTACCAGATCAAGCTGAATGGACTCCCACTTTCTTCCCTGGGTCCCGGGGTTACGGGGTTCCGTGCGCTGCAGACGAGGGTGGTAATCTCCCTGTTTCTGCGAGAGGTTCCCGCCTACCTGCTGGGGCCACCTTCTCCCTGAAGTCAGCTTTCCTCACATGTCTTCAGGGCCCAGCTCAGCAGCTCCCACAGCCCACCCCCGTTTTGCCCCCATACAGTGCTACTCCTGAAAGTGAATGACCCTGTCTCTCATAATTGCACCTCCCAGGATATCAAGGGACTTGAACGCTAGTAAAAGTTCGAAACACGTTTTTTCTGGAAGGAATGAATGAATAAATGACAATACAGCTATTGACAAGGCCATTGAATCGGCCCAATCATATGAAAAACCTTTACATTGTGTTTTATTAGCTAGGGATAGTCTAAGGCTTTACCTAAGTTTTCACTGTAAAGTCTTGGTTTAAATAGCCAAAATTTCTAAAAGAATATGAATCTCACATTTTGACATATTCCAGTTGACATTTAGGTAAGAAAAATATATATGTATTTACATCCTAAAAAGTCAACACTTTAAAAAATAAATAAAATGCACAGGAGAAGTGCACATCCAGTATGGATGTTGAAAGATGAGATTCTATGTAAGCCTTTCACAAGTGCAATTATTGTCAACAAAAGGAGTACACCTTAGGATATTGCTGGTGCCCAGAAGCTCTCACCATCCTGCACACTATGGACCTTTCATTGCCACAGCATCCTTTTTCTGAACCTTTTTCTGGCTATCTCCTATTTGACCTATATTTTTGCCTAATGTTATAGTTTTTCCTCAGTGTTTTCCCAACTCCTTTAAGAAAAAGCATTAAAGAACCTGGTGGTTAAGGAAACCAAATCCCACATGGACAACCGCGGTTTAAATCCTGGCCCTGGAGGCTAGAGAAACACACTGACCATGTGTGCACGTGTGTCCTAAATCCCAACAGGATGGAGGCATGACTCTGCCCCATTGAGAGGGGGTTCTTTTTCCCTCTCTCCCTCTCCCTACCTCTCTGTGTCTTTCCAGTGAATGCATGCATCCTTTGGCAATTAACAATTAATTAAAATAAACGTAATTAAGGAAAATAAAATTGTAGAGAAGGACACAAGTGTGTGGGGGGGGAGTTATTGCAATAGAAAAGGTGTTTCTGCATATGAAGCACTATTTATAATATTACTCGGTGATGAAAAAGTGATATTTTCAGCATTTTGCATCTTCATTCATATATATATATATATGAATTTTAGTGTGTTTTATTGTAGTTAAGGTACCTGAGTGGAAGATAGGTTGATGTGTTACACATTCAAATTTTTCTTCTTTTCAAAATAATACAAAGTAGACTCCATGTTTTTATCTAGAAGTCTTAGTTTCAGAAATGGATTGCTGCCAAGTAAGAAATACCTGTCTTAACCAATTTAACCTCTTCAATAAGCCAGCGGGTTAAATATTGTTCCTATTTCATAGAGGAGGAAACAGAAAGTAACTGTAAGCTCATACAACCAGTAGGTGACAGAATCACATTCAGACTTAAGCATTCTACTCTGGGACCTACTTAGCCATGACCTACACTGCTGACTCGAACTATTGTACTTCATTACTTAGCAAGAATGTAATAAGAATAAACAATGGAAATTTCTGGCAAGCACTGGGATTCATAATGAGAAAATTCCTGCCCTTGACCATGAACCAAAATAATAGGTAAGATTCAACTACAATGTGCATTGTATGATGGAAATAACTGAAGTCACCTACATGTTTTTGTGACATTTTATAAACAAACCTGTGCTAGTTGCCAGATTATTGTTTCTCAGTTCCAAATTCATCCTTTTTGGCTGTTCTATGAAAATGGAGCTGGTTTCTTTATGTTTCCTTCCTCCACCAGCCAGATGTTAAGCTGTGTCAGTAGAGGGCAGTAGGGTGACATGATAAAAAGAAAGGGCATTCCTCCAGGTGTGCTTCTCTTTTAGGGCTTCTGTGCAAACTTCTCTTGCCACGGACTCCTGGTGTTCAGGTGGCTTTTTCAACATTGGCTCCTGCAATGCACAGTGGCCAGAAGCACCTTCCCACCCAGGAGCCGTCCCCAGCAACCTCCTTACATACTTTCATAGCAGAGTGTCTCTAGCAGGACACCTGCCCATCCGCAGCTTTCCCAGTGCCTTGAAGGGCACTGATTTCCAGAAAGCTCTGGAAGGAGGATTTTTTAAACTCCAATAGACAGGACCGTATCAACTCCTCTGCCTGCCATCCAACGACCCACAGTCACAGCATCCACAAGAACTGGATCTCAGCTGTGGATAGAGGATGGGCCTCTTTCTAAGTCCTGTATTTCAGCCCACTCCTGCTTATAACTGATATTATTAAGACTACATTCTTTGGGAACCAGCAGTTAGCATAATGGCTATGTCGCTGGACTCTCACGTAGTCGACCACAGTATGCGTCCTGAACCCGGTGGCTTAAAACTCACGCTGGGCGCGTGTGTGTGCATGCCCAAGATCCCGAGAGGAGAATGGAGGAGAAGGGATTGCGGTGTGACCATGCCCCCTGGGGGGTGATTTCTCACTTTCTGTTTCTCTCTCTCTGTCTGTCTGGCAAGAACACGTGCCCTAATAGCAAAAAAATCTCTCCAAAAAAAAGACTACATTCTTTCACTTTGCCAGTGCCTTGCTACTCCAGTTCCCTGTTACAGTTAATAATTCTTCATGCTAAACTGTTCTATTCAAATTATTAAGCAGTTTTTATCTCTCGATTTTCCCTGAGTGACAGCTAGAAACAGTGTTGTCATGGAAATATTATCAGCATCTACATACTCTCCCTGAATGCTCACAGCACTGTTCCTATGCCCCAGGAAGTTCCTCTTTTTTGGAAGGAAGAGGGGAGATTCAGATGAGTGTTCCCTGTCAGCATGCCAGTATTTACAGCAGAATAATGATAAAATATTTTTCTTCTGGGTGATTTGTTGCAGAATGGCTGATGCAAGTGAATTGGAGAGGGCTCAGTTAATGGCTATGGGTCAGATTAAAGAGCGGGGAATTGCACAGAGCAGGGGGGTGCTACTTTGAGAAGACATGAGTACAAGGCAAATACACGGATTCTGGAAAAAAATTCTGGTTACATGATAGTTCTTGAGGTTTCCTACATGGAGAGGAATCTATGAAGGGAGAGAGTAAAGAGAACAAAAAGTTTACAGGGTCATAGAGAATTTCAGGGGTCCTATTGACAAGAAGGAAATGAGGGAACAGGGCAGAGTTATGAGAAGAGCTATGTCCCTAAACACTTAAGGTAAATTTCCTAAAAGAAGAGATTACTACTGATGTTAAATTCTACTGTGGGCCCAGAGGTAAAAGAATCGGAAACATACAATTAATTTGGCACTATAATGAGAGATGTAAAGGAAAACTTAAAAAAAATAGTATCCCATATTCCCATATGACAGACCAACTGTTCTAAAGATGTTTTTCTTTCTTTCTTTCTTTCTTTCTTTCTTTCTTTCTTTCTTTTTTTTTGGAGATCTTTTTGCTACAGGGAGCATGAGCATGCCAGAAAGACAGAGACAGAGAGACAGAAAGTGAGAAATTACCCCCCTCAAGGGGGATGACCACACCACAATCCCTTCTCCTCCAATCTCCTCTCGGGATCTTGGGCATGCACGCACACGTGCCTGGCGTATGTTTAAGCCGCCGGGTCCGGGACTTGAACCACGGTTGACTACATGGGAATCCAGCAGCATGGCTGTTATGCTAACTGCTAGTCCCTAAAGATGTTTATTTCAATGAAAATTCCATCTGAATTAATTTTGGGAAGGGAGGAGTAGAGGGTGAGGTCTTGGTAAATTAATTCTAATATAAAAAGTAAGCAAAGAATATTATTTAAGAAAAAAACCTTGAGGCAAACTTGCCCATTCGGGTATTAGAATATACTATAAGCTACAATAAATTAATGTATACAGATCAAAAGAAAAAAATTGGAGAGGAAGTGAATCCTAGAATACGTAACATCTTCAAACATTGTAAAGGAGTTATTAAAAATGAAATGTTTTACAAAAATTGCTTTTATAAAATTGATGACTTAGGGAGAAAAAGAAACTAAAGCCTAACATCTTACTCTAAAATTAAATCCAGAATTAAATACAAAACAAACTATAAGGCAGTGAAGCTGTGAGCTTATCAAGAGACACCAGGAAACTTTTCTGAAGGAATGAATATGTTTATTATCTAGATTATGGTGATAGTTTCTGTGTTTGTATGTGTTAAAATGTATCAAATAACACACTTTAATATGCACAGTTTATTATAAGTCAATTATGCCTTAATATAGCTGGTATAAAATTATTACAAACAAGAAAGTACATAAACTAAATATAAATGTAGACCAAGTGTATCAAAACTGTACAGTTTCACTGACAAGGTCATGTGTATTTAGAGGCTTGCCTTTTGTATTAGTCTCTTTCGGCTACTGTAACAAATTAACATATACTTGATAGTTTCAAATAACACAGACTTATTCT